GTCGAAGGCCTCGATCTCGGACGCCTGGCGCTCCAGGAGAGACCGGATACGCTCCGAACGCTCGTTCTGCAGGGCCAGCATATCCTCCTCGATCTGGAGAAACAGATCAATGGATGTCAGAATTACACTTTTAGGAGAGTGGTCCTCAACTGGTGGGTTGTGAGCACAAAAGTTGCTTCTGATTGAATGTTCAATCTGATTCCAGTGCAACTTATAATCACGCACAGTTAGGATGGCAAAGTCGGATTGATTTTATAAATGCACATTTTAGATCTTCATGTGAACAATTACATTTTGAAAAACCGTTTTACCCTTGTAATTTTTAATCAAATTGTCATAACTAGATCTTCTGGTGAAAACAGACTTCACTGGTGGCATATACAAGAGTTCTTCAATTGTTTAGTCATCTTAAACTCTGTTTCTACAAGCTTGCATTCATCTGCCTCGAGTTTTGAGTGCAACGCCAACATCTCAAAATCCAATCAACAACCGATGCATTAAACCAAGTCCCCACCCTACACATACTTCTCTTTCACTGCAACTTTAACTTCTAGTTTTCTCAAGAAATTGTGTGAGTTTAATTGGCACAAATTCATCACTTGCATAATATCACTGGCAAAAACACAACCCAGACTATATTGAATATGGGTGCACGTGGTTTAAACATGGTTTGTGCCACCCACAAATTTTTTTTTTTAATGAATTAATGAATCATTACTGGTTGTATAGAGCATGAAACCATTAGCACGCCTGTTTAGTGTTTCAAAACAAAGCAACAGGATTTAAAACATATCACCAAATCTAATGGGAATGCGCCAATATTAACATTCTAGCCGATACCAATTAGTCAATCATTATGTTGTTGGACAAATAACCAAAAAAACGAAATCTTAAATTAATCATCTTAAATACCACAAGTGAATATAGACATTACAATATTAGAATGAACAGTATAAAATAATGGCTAAATTAATAGTTATTAATTCATTTACCACTTATTAAATTATTTGTGTTGTTTAAAAGTTAAAGATAAAATTCATCAGTGTTAGTAAATTTATGTTTTAAAAATAATAATTTTAAGTAAGTGTTAAATGACAGGAAAGGTACTTTAAGTGTAAAAATGGAAGAAATAAGCATTAACAACTAAACTGTTTTATTAGGAAGAAACTGCAAAAAAAAAAAAAAAAAAAAATCAATCGTTTTAAATGCCAAAAGTGAATATAGACATCCCTTTATAATTGTATAGTATAAAATAACATACAGTGGGGAAAAAAAGTATTTAGTCAGCCACCAATTGTGCAAGTTCTCCCACTTAAAAAGATGAGAGAGGCCTGTAATTTTCATCATAGGTATACCTCAACTATGAGAGACAAAATGAGAAAAAAAA